TGTTCGCTAGCTGTTAGAAGCGGTCGCCTCTCCAGCTGCAAGCTGTGCTGTAAGGTGGCGACGCGGCTACGTAAGCTGCGCGTACGCTAATTACAATGCATCGAATCAGCGACCATGAAAAGTTGCTGTAGTCTGCGCTAGCAACACAAGCGCTACTAGCAACAGCTAGCATTCATTAATAAGACACGATGTAGTTTTCCTTTTGCTGTGTGGCTGATGAGCATTTTTTGTAATTTAGACATGTAACACTTTCTGCTGTAGATTTTTTATAATTTCAATTTTTTGTGGAAATCGCTAACGCCTAGTAATTTTGAAAATTGTATTTTTTAAGGACTATATCCACAATTTCGGAATATCTAGAAAAAAATTATTTTCATTATTTTTTTTTATATCATTTTATAAATAATATTATATAATATTAATATTGTTAGTTCAATTTTTATTTATTTTACTTATTTCAAAAATATTTTATTAGTTAAATATTGAATACAAAATTGTGTCAAGATATGTATTTAATAAGTTTTGTGTTTCTTATATTTTTATTTTATATTATATAACTAAAAATTTTTTTTTTGAAAATTAAATTTTTTTTTTTGAAAATTAAATCTTTTTTTTTTGCATGGAAATTAAGAATAATTTTTAAGAACGTTGAAAGTGAAAAAAAATTGTTTTATAAGTATTTTTTTATACTAAATTTTACAAACTTTAAGATATATATATATATATATGCTTATGGAACACCTGTTGTTATATTAACAATATTCAAATTTTATTAAATAAAATGAAATTGAATAAAATATTTAATCAATATAATTAATAATTTTGTATTTTTCATATTAAAATACTGTCTAATAAAATTTTTTTTTTTTTAATTAAATATTTATTTACATAGAAACTTTTAAGAATATTAATATTTAAAACAAAAAATAAATGTGATCAATACAGTATTATTTTTTGGTTATTTATATTATATATTAAAATATTATATAATTTGAAAACATTTTATGTATGAAAAAGGTAATTTTTTCGAAAGTAGAAAGAGATTTTTAAGCAGATTACGATTTATTTATTATATTTTAGGATGTCATTTTTTTAAATATTTATATGTTTCAAATTTTATATTTAGAATATTAAGAAATGTGTTGGATACATTACTTAGTATTATGACTAATTTTTAATTTTTAAACTAAATTTTTCTTAACATAATACTACAACTTATTTTTTTACACAGTACGCCAGATTTTTCTAACTAAAACTTCTTTTGCAGTGTAATAAAAAAAATGTAAATGTTATGTAAGATTTCGTTCGAAAGTAATTTTCAATAGAATTAATTCAAAAATTTTTTAATTGACGAAATATTTTTATTTTATTTTATTAAACAAAAATTTTTTTTTGTTATTATTACAAAATATTATCATTATAAAAATTTTATTTTTAATATTATTACAAAATATTGTTATTTAAATTTTTTTTATATGTTTTAATAGCTTATGTATTGTACGATTTTTTTCTTATGGCTTATTATATTTAAGTTCATGAAAATAATTTTTAAAAACTTCATTTTAAAATTTTTTGATTGAAATAAATATATTTTTTTTCAAATTTGTATAAATTGTATTATTATTTTGTACTTTTAGTTTTTAGCATGCTATTTAAGTACATGAAAATAATTTTCAAAAAATAATTTTTAAAAAACTTCATTTAAAAATTTTCAAAAAATTATTTTTAATTGAAATAAATATATTTTTTCTTTCAAAAGTATATATATTTGATTATTATTTTGTTGTTTTAGATATTATTTTAGTACATGAAAATATTTTCAAAAAAACTTGAATTTTTGTAAATGACTATACACGTTTTTATTTTTATATGTTAAAAATTTTTAAATACCTTAATTCAATAATAATATTATTAATTTAAAATTTCTAGTTAGTTTAAACTTTTTAAATATTTTTTGCTGTAATTGTTTTTTTGTTGTTTAGTGCACAGCAGCATAATTTTTAATTTTCTTTTATAGGTAAGTCTTTTGTTTTAAATATGCTTCTTTAATTGAAAAAAAATTCTTTTTAATTACTTAAATTACTATTATAATAATAATTTTTTTTTTTTTGAAGTTTCGAATTGTAATTTTATTTAATAAATATTAATTTATTTTAAAAGCATAGTATTTTAATAATAACTGAAAATTTTTAAAATAAAAAAGCATATAAATACATTTCAAAAATTTTCTTAAAGGCTTATGAACTATGCACAAATTAAATAACAGCACAGAATTTATTTCCCTTTTTCACACAAGAAAAAGTTACTTGATATGTTTATAAACCTGTTGAGAACTGCAAACGCATATTTAGAGTCCAATCCCAAAATCGGAGCAGTTTATGTAAAAAATCGGGGTTAAAGCATTTTTAGTGCTCACAAATGTCTGGCTTATAAGTAAATTATTTTCTATAAACCTTAAAAGAATTACAATATTTAACAAGTATCGAACGAAAAAACCATTTAAAGGCTAAATATATTGATTTTTTAAAATTCTTTCCTTTTATATATTTTAAAGTCCTATAAAAGATTGCAACTTTGTGCATAACGAGTGTTCCATCAGCAGTTTTCTAATGTTTTTTCTTTTCTATAAATCTCATTAGAAGTACTGTTTTCGGGGAATTAATGAAAAATTAATTTAATTAATTAAGCTCCATTGAATTATTTTTTTACTACATTTTACTAGGGAGTCCTTGAAGCTTAATGTAAGAATGCAACTTTATGTATAACAAGTCTTTCAAAAAGGCTATATTTTTTTTTTATTTTTATAGTAAAAATATTTTAAAAAAATTTTTTTCAATTGGTAAAACTAAGTTAAAATTATTTTCAGAAAAAGCTATGAGTTCACCAATATTTTTTTTTCACATTTGTTAACAAATGTGCTTCATTCGTATTATATTTGGGTTATGGCAGTTTATGCATGCAGTCTTTCTGTGTCCGAATTAATATAGATTTTCTATTTGTTTTTGCAAAAAATCTAAACAACTTCGTTTTGTGTGTGTGTCTGACCGCATTTGTGCCATTATCTTTACTGTGCCGTTAAACATTCGAAGCGGAAATCGATATAACTCATACGCCATGCGCATGCAATAATCGCTAGAGATTATATAATGCGGCGTCGCAGTTTTTGAGGAAACGCCTTTGCAGCTGCGCAACTTTTCTATGTATGCAATTCGTATATAACTGCATAGCCACCTGTAGATATGTACATACATATAGATTAGCTGATGAAGAAAAACCAAAAACCATTCAAATCGATTGAAATCAAATGTGATATGCATTATGTTGATGCAGCAAATAATAAATACCGCTATAAATGCCAACACGCAAGCGCACATAATTGATCGCCAACTTCACCATTGGCATTTTAAATGAACAAATGGTCAATGAGTGTAGACATTTTGGCACTGTGCAGGCAGTTGCCATAATATAAAAGCATTTGTGTACATATATGATTGTGTGTATGTATGTATAGCTTGATATAGACATGCGCGCTGCGGTGAATGCCTACAACTAAATCTATGTATATGTGTGTGTGTAAATGACTAAAAATAATTACCAATGGTATAACGGTAAAAATTAGATAAAAAATAGAATTCGGTTGCACCGAAGCTATAACACCCTTCACAAAATCAAAAGAATCCATACAACAATATGATTTTGATCGGTCAGTTTGTAGGACAGCTATATGCTATAGTGATTCGATCGGAACAATTTCGTCGGAGATTGTGAAGATACTACATCAAATAAAATAGTACAGTATGTATGTATGACAGCTATATGCTATAGTGCTCCGACAGGGTCTCCGCCGCTTCCTTCTGGGTATTTTGGCAAACTTAATATAGCCTGTTCAGGGTATAAGAAAGATTGCTGAAAAGATTGCACATCAAAACAACGGCAAACAAATCGTCAGATAAATGATAAAGATCTGCTGCGTTGCGCGTGAAAGTGCGACGTGTGGCGATATGCCAAGCTGTGAGTTGCGCTCGCAATTTCTGATTGCATTTATTTTTTGCAAATGTAACTCACTGCGAATAGTAAACATAAAACAAAAAATAATAAATTATGAAATGAAATGTACAACAAAATATATCATATATATGGCAACGCTATTGTGTCCTACAATTGCTTAGCCTACTTTTAGGCTTCATAGAAATGATTACAGTGCTTAATTCGTCGGCTTGAGTTGGCTGTGGACTCAACCAGAGAATGTTAATGAATAGAGAAGTTGCAAATGTTAAATGAAATCTTTTTGAGTACTAATTTGTAATTCCAGATGAGGTAACATCGAAAAATATAACTTCGAAAAAGAAAAATACACCACGCAATGTGCGAAATGCTATAAATAGACACAACGAATATTCCTAAATGAAAAATCGTTGCGCATACCTATTTAGATTTATGTTTTCAATTCCTATGATATGACAAATTTATAATTATGAAAAGCCTTCTTAATTAAAAAGCTGTATTACCGGTAAAAACCCCAGAATTCATAATAATTCATTCATTAACATTCTCTGGTGCCGGCCTCCGCTACTGAACGAATTAAAGAATAGTATTTGTGGTATAATCCGCCTAAAAGTAGACCATAATTTCTTAATAGTCATTAAGCCTAAGGAAAAAGTGAACTAGTGGAACGTTTTTAATTTTGACGTTAATTTTTACTTACCTACAAATAAATGTATCATGAAAATATAATAACGATTTTTCATTAATGTGTATATAAGTAATTTTATTAAGCACAATGTGAAAAAATAGTTTTTATATAACTTAAATGCTAAATATTGCACAAATCTAATACAATTTGTTATAAAAATTATTTTTTTTAGTCTTTATGTAGTTAGTGTGAATAATAAAAAAAAAAATGAAAAACATAAATTGAATTTAAATAAAGTAAAAAAATATATAAAAAAATAAATGTTTTTTTTTAATTTAATACAAAAATTTAGCAACATTTTGGAGGCCATAATTTTTTATATATAAAAAATAGAAATTTTATGAGAAAACATTTTGAATCGTATAAAATCTTGTGTATAAATGAAATTAAACTGATTTGCAAAAGCAAATGTAGATACGATTTGAATTTTGCAAAGTTAAACATTTTTACTTAGACTAAAATAAAAGATTTTTAGAAAGTACACAAAGATGTAGATAGATATAGATATAGAAAATATTAAGATATTTGCAAAAAATTCTTTTTTGCTTTTGAAATTGTTTTAGAGAAAACATTTACCCCGAAATGTTGCTGATTACGTTCCAAATTCGATCGGGTATTTTAATGTTGTCATGCAACTCATTTTTTCAAAACATCAATGTATTTAGCGTTTGTTCCAACATTCGCCAGTTCGTAAGTAAGAAAGTAGAACATTTCGGAGTTAAAAGAAGCTCAACACGTTAGATGCATTTGAAAAATCATTGCAAGTGTTTCACTTGTTCACTTGCGTTTGCTAAGCATAGTACAAGCGTCTTCGAAACGCCACTTAGCTCTTCACCAATGCTGTGGTTTTAAACTCCACCGCTGTACTCATTTGAGCGCCCAAATTTTCGCGCACAAATTTGCGTATTTTCTGCAAATGCTCATCTACCTGCACATCGGTTGTGACCGCGGTGGTGCTCTTCAACGCTGGCGCACCGCGTTTACGATTTACGCGTCGCAACGCTTTGGCGCCATGCGCGTGGTAATTGAATGGCTCCGGTTTAATAGCGGCCGAACGCTGATGCGCATGCTCTTGCTCTGAGGCGGCAAGCGGCAGTGGCGCATCATAGTCAAATTGTTGCTGCTGCTCCAATTGTTCATGTTGCTGTTGTTGTTGGTGTTCATGCAACAATTGTTCTTGCAGTTGCTGCTGGTGTTGGTAAGCGGGCGCGGAAGCGGCGGCGTGACGCTCGTATGGACGCACTGACGGCAACGCATAACTGCCGGTGAAGTCCGCAGCGCCTTTCTCGCTGTTTTGCGTGTAAATCACTTTGGTGTGCGTTTGACGTGGATTATTTTCACCATGCGCTGTGGCAGCTAGCTCATGCTGCGCTTGTTGGTGTTGATGGTGTTGCTGTTGCAATTCCTGTTCTTGCTCCTCCTCCTGTACATAGATGGGCTGGTGTTGTAGCGCAGCAGCGTGTGCGGCATGCGTCGTATAACCACTTTGTGGTGCGATTGCCATGAAGTAGACATTCTGATAGTGATGACTGCCATGCGGGCCAAATTGCGTGCCTGGTGTATAATAGTATTGCTGAATGGCTGATGGTGGCGCGGCTTTTAAGAAATATTGTTGACCATGTTGCAGCTGTTGTGGCTCTAGCGCTTCTTCGTGCTGCTGCTGCACATACTCCACTTGCTGTTGCTGCTCGTGGTGTTGTTGTTGTTGCAGCGCTGCCTGCGGCGCGTGCAGTTTACCCTTGTAGCCTTGATAGATCTCATCGACATCCGAGTAGACAACCGCTTGTGGCGTGGGCGCTATTTGATGCGCGTACGTCACTTCCGGCGAGTAACCGTGTTCCTCATTAACAGCTGGTGCATGCTGTGCGACATGCTGTTCATGCGCTGGTGGTTGCAGTTGAAGTGTGGGTTCCGCGTATTGCTGCGCTGGTACGCCGCCATGTTGTATCAGCGCTTGCTGTTCATAAAGCTGCGCCTGTTGCTCGTGCTGCTGTTGTTGCGCGTGCTGCTGTTGTTGTTGCTGCAGTATATGCTCTTGTTGCAGTAGATGTTCTTGCTGCTGCTGCTGCTGTTCCAAATGTTGGTGCGTATGTTGCTGATGTTGCTTGTGCAGCTCATTTTCCTGTAATATACGCAGATATTGCGCGGCGCGTATCTCCAAATATTGCTGCAGCAGCGTTTGCAAGTGTGAGGCATACTTCGTAGGTCCGGGTATACGCAAAACAATTACCGGCTCCTCATAGCCGCCCTGTGCGCCATGCTTTGGCACGTCAAGCACCTCTGGTGGCTGCTGTGCGCCATGTTTCTGCACATAGCTTTGCGATTGTAATTCGTAGGAGTAGGAGGGTTCGATGCTGACATCAGTCTTGGGTGGATAATAGCCAGGCGCGTCGACTGGTATGTTCTGCTGAGAGTAGGGATAGAACATGAATTTGGGGCGCTCATACTGGTAGCCATTGTGCGCGTGGTATGCGCCATAGCTGTAAGTAAGTAAATGTTTTAAGCATAGTTGCAATTTATAATTTATTACCGCTTCTGCTTACCCCAACTCGCCGTCAATGGTGCGCTTGCTATTCTGTTTTTCCGACTCCGTACTGTTATCGTGTTCCACTTTAATTTTGATCTTCTCACCATGCAACTGAAATTGTTTATCCAGCTCATTAATGAATTCAAGATCGTCCGCCGGCAGATCCTTGAAAGCGGCCGTCACATCGGTCACCTTCTTGCGTTTATTTTTCGAGTTCTGCGTTGCCGACGCGGTAACATAACTTGTCGGCGTTTTCGTAGGGCGCTTCTTCAGCGAGTGTACTTTCTTCGGATAGCTTGCCTTCTCGTTGATTTTTGTTGCGTTGTTGATTATGCGGTCGCTGCTCACGTTATCCGTCAACACCGTCTTGCTCTCAACATCCGCAGTTGTGGTTGTTAGTGTCGTATTTGTGCCCTTCGATTTTCCATTCTTAGCGCCATCTATTGGCGAGCTTGCAAACAGCAATGCTACGAGTAGCATTATCTGAAATAAAGTGAAGGAAATTAGTAGAAAATATGTGCGACAAAAATTGTATGAGTCGTGAAAAGATTGCTTGGGCGAGTCTAAGTTTTCTTTGAAGAAATCGTATAACTTAGGAGGTAAGAAATGCAAACACTGCGTGCTACTATTAAACCATCTAGGCAAAAGTGGTCTTTATTCACAAGCCTGTTCATTTGAATTACGTCTAAGAGTTTTTTAATCTCAATTGTCTCGCGCCTTCGTTGACTAACTGACTTGTTTTATGCTCAGTGTTTGGTACTGAAATATTTGATCTCTGGATTCTAGTGATTTGAGAGATTTTGAGTTTTCGCTGACTGGTATGCTTTACCATGCTTCTGTTATTTCTTCTGATTTTGCTCTTATGAATCTATATCTCTTAACTCTGTTACTGGCATTTGGTTCTCACTCTCTTATCTCCGATCGCCGTTTGTTTATTGTATAACCTTTTATCTCTCACCTCTAGTATCAGGTCTACATCCACGGTCTTTGCTGACCTAAATGGACTTGACTGTTTTTACTAGATCTGTAATTTCGGCAGTCTAATCTTCCCCTTCGTCTTCGTCTCACCGTTTTTTTTTTGTATAGCATCTGATTTCTGCAGGTCGCTTTTTTGCACTTTAGTCCCTGATCTCTATCTTTAGAGACGTATTTTATTTTTGCATTATATATTCTGTTCCGCGCTCATTTGTTTTGTATCTAATGTTTACTGATCTTCGTACCAAAAGGCTTTTATATTGTATCTATACACTACAGTTTTTGGTTTCGTAATCATTAGACTCTGATCTCTGACCCGGCATATACATATATTATATAAGCATTCCTCGGTTTGCCTAATAATCGGCACAAAAAGAAAGTGAAGTTAGATGACTTATTAAAACTCTTAAGAAAGTATGTGAGTCATAAGTGATCCTGTACTTTATAGATCGCGTTTATCCGAAGCTTTTTTTTAATTTTGAAAACCAATTTTTAATTTTTTTTTTTTGCTTTTAGCGTTTTTTTATTTTGTTCCCGTTACTATACTCCCCTCAAAATTTGCAACAAATCACGCTTCGTTGCATTACTTGGAATTCTTCGCTCACAATTGACAATCTTTTTTACATAAGTGGCAGCGGACCACAGATTAAAAAGCAAAAGAAAAAAATCGCATAATAATAATACAATAAAAAAAATATTATCGGCAATCATAGCGAGTGGCAGTAGTTTAAAATACCATAGCATACATACAAAACATACATCACACTATGAGATTTGAATGGCAAACAGGAAAAGTGCCATAAAAGCCAAAGATCACTTGTTAAGCATGCCGCGACTCCAATAACAAAAAATAAAACAAAATGTTGCTGCTGCTGCCACCAGCCGCCTGGCTTATAAACTACCTGCCACCCAAAAGATGCAACAACCAATAATGTTGTAACAATTTTGGCTAACTGGCTAAGAGCAAACATTTCTGCATATATCCGCATACAAACACATACAGTATACACACATATGAATAGATATAGTCGGCATGTATGTGTGGGTTTTGTTTGTTTTGTCAGCCAAATGACTTCCTGCTTTGAGTTGAAGATGCGAATGCCACTTTAAATTAGTCATTACATTGCGCATATGTTTATTTAAGCGGGTATAATGTTGCAAGTGAAAATTTCAAGCAATTTAAATCTATTTTTAATGATGACACACTCTGCCATATTTTTCAAGTATTTAAAAAGGAAAAAATCGAAGTGAACCTGTTTCTTTAATTATCAATTAAGAACTGACCAGGCAGAGCGAGGCAGTTCGGGACTCCGTAATTTCGGGATACGTGTAAAATTGTGTGTTATCTTCTACATTGTTTGGTTTATTAAGGTATAGTATAGTTTTATACTCCTTATACATATAATGCAAAAAAATTCGAGATCAGTGTTTCGGGATTCTGTAATTTTCGGTTTTGAATAAATTTTTTTTGTATATTTTTTTCAAATATTTTAAAAGTTATCGACCGTTATACCAGAAATTCTGACAGACGGTGGAATTTTTTTACTATCTTGGATTTATTTCATTTCCAACTGCGTAATGTTAACTTCCTCAGAAATAATAAAAAAATGTATGTCAAAAGTTACCGATATTTCGGGAATTCGGGAATTCCCAGAAGGAAACGTCGGATACCCTATGAAATATATACATAAATGATCAGCATGATGAGCTAAGTTGATTTAGCCATGTCAGTCTGTCTGTGTATATATTATACAAACTAATCTCTCAGTTTTTAAGCTATCGATCTGAAATTTTGCAGCTCTACTTTTCTCACTAAGAAGTTGCTCATTTGTCGGAAGGGCCGATATCGGACTGCTGCCATACAAACTGAACAATCGGAATCAAGTACTTGTATGGAAAACTCTTTCATTTGACGAGGTGTCTTCACGAAATTTGGCATAGATTATTATTTAAGGCAACAATGTATTCTTAGCAGAAATTGTTCAGATCAAATCATCTATATCATATGGCTGCTATACAAATTGAACGATCGAAATTAAGTTCTTGTAAGGAGCCTTTGTATTTGCGAAAGGTATTATAGCTTCTGAGCAAACGAAGTTAACGTTTTTTATTACTTTTTTTTTATTTTTCGATTATTTTAGTTAGCATCATTATTCCAGCTTTTTTTTAATTACTCTCAACTAGTTATTTTTTTCTTCAATTTCTTTCATTTCTGGCTCTTAAATTTGATAAAATTATTAACAAATTAATTTCCAAAAAATCTTTTTGAGCTCTTGTACATACTACCACGCAATTCAATATAGTTATGTATATCTGCACATTTATGTTATGTTTAGTCAGATATTATTAGTAACTGTCAGCTTAGAATTGCGGCCAAGGCCGAAGTCTGCATTGTTTTGCTTAGAACGAGATATTTAATTTTGGCGAAGATCAAACAAACCACTTGTCAATTCAAAGCTGCAGTCTGCATCCGCTCTAATGTGATTACAAATAATTTATAATAAATTTACAAGTAAGCAATTAATTTATAATTGGAAATTTACTTAAAAAAT